AAAGTGTTAATTTTGGAAGGGAGAACAAAAGAACAGTATTATTTAAGTAGAAACTGCAGAAAGCTGCAACACAAAGGCACTTCAGGGTACTTGTACATGAAACACAAAAGTCAGCTCACAGGTGGCACAAGTACTCAGGAAGGCAAATGGAATATTGGCCTTTATTTCAAGGGGGTTGGAGTATAAGACTACGGAACCCTTACTGCAACTGTACAAAGTTCTGATAAGATGTCAATTGGACGACCGTGAGCAGTTTTTGTCCCCTCATTTAAGAAACAATATCATTCTATTGGAGGCAGTTCAGAGAAGGTTCACAAGGACGATTCCTGGTATGCAGTGATTTTCTTATGAGCAAAGATTAAATAGGTTGGGACTCTACCAACTGGAGTTTAGAAGAATGAGAGGTGATCTCATTGAGACGTATAGGATTTTTAAGGGGCTTGACAAGGTAAATGCTGAGAAAATGTTTTCCTCTCTTGAGAAAGCCTAGGACCAGAAGGCACAGCTTCAGAATAAAAGGATGCCAATTTAAGACTGAGATGAGGAGGAACTTCTTCTCTGAGGGTTGAGAGTTTTTTGGAACTCCCTGCCACAGAGGTGTGGGGGCAGAGTGATTGTGGATATTTAAGGCTGAGATAGATTCTTGATCAGTCAAGGAATTGAGGATTATTAGGAAATGGCAGGGAAGTGGATGTGAGAAATGTCGAATCAGCAATGATCGAATTGAATGGTAGAGCAGGCTCAAGGGGCCAAACAGCTTACTCCTTCTGTTCCTATTTCTTATGGTCTTAGCAAGTCAGAGGAACACCCTGGTCCAATGAAGAGTACAGGGACATACCAGGAGAAGCGCTAAGTACACCTAAAAATACCAGGTGTCAACCTGGCGAAGCTATAACACGTGACTACTTTCAGTCAGACAGTGGAAATATGATGTGATGAACATTGCTAAGCAATCCCGCAACCAAAGTCTGAACTAAGATCTGCAGTATGACTAAATGCAGCCTTGAATGATAGTGGTCAATTAAACAATGGAGAGGGCATTGAGGTTTCATAAATATCCCTGTCCTTAATGATGTGGGAGGTGAGCACGAAAGACAAGGCTGAAGTATTTGATTCACCTTCAGCCAGAGGTGCCGAGGAGATGATCTATCTTGGTCTCTTCCTGAGGTCACTAGCATTACAATGCCAGTCTTCAGCAGTACAGTTCACTTCATGTGAATAGCTGAAGGCATGGATGGCGAAAAGCCTGTGGGCTTAGGCAGTATTCTGCCTATAATACTGAAGACATGTGCACCAGAACTCATGCTGAAGCCAAACTGTTCCTGTAAAGCTGCCAAACTGTTCCTGTAAAGCTGCAAAATTGGCATCTACCTGATAATGTGGAAAATTGCCCGGTTACATCCAGCCCACAAAAAGCGGGAGAAATCCAGACCAGCCAATTACCACGCATCAGTCTCCTCTCAGTCATCACAAGAGTGATATGAGATGTCTTTAACAATGCTATCAGTAGGTACTTATTCAGCAGTATTCTGTTTACTGACACTCAGCTTCACCCCATTTCAGCCTTGGACAGAACATGGACAAGAGAGCTGGACACCACAACTGGTGGCCTCTCCAGTGCCACGCACATCCTATGAAAGAAAAAATAAAAAAAAAATACTCTTAACAACATTAGTTATGAACTGGAATCTATTAGGGCTCAGAAAGTGAACAAGCTAAAAGAGCAGAGTCTCATTTCCTCAAGTAGTGAATTACCACTGGACGTTTTAAAAGTGTCAAAGTTTAGGATTTTTCACTTTTTATTTTGTCTTTCTTTAATCTGAAATTTATTTCTCTTCCTTTATTTGTCTTTTTATCTCTAAACTTGACATAGAATTCACATATCTTGTCATTCCTCAATCTATATATCTCCTTGGTGAAGGGGAAGGCAGATGGTCCGATTGTTCACGAAGGTCCCAGATACCCTCTTGGTTTTGTCAGTGCTTTTCAAATCAAGCTTCCGCTAACTCTGTTAAGTCTAGATGTCCAATTAACAACGCACGATATGTATAATATGCACTAATATTTACACACACCCTTATTGTAGCAGTCATGCTATGCAAATGTCAGGCAATGGCCATCTTCAATAAGAGATAATCTAATGATCACCCTTTGACATTCAATGGCATTATCATCACTGACTCCTCCAATATCAATAGCCTGGTGGTTGCCATTGACCAGAAACTGAACTGGACACGCCATATAAATACATGGCTACAAGAGCAGGTCTATGGGGTACTGCAGCAAGTAACTCATCCTGACTCCCTATAACCTGTTCACCATCTACAGGGCACAAGATTAGTAAGGGAATCGAGGATTGGGTTATAGGAAGAAGGCAGGAAAATGGGGTTGAGAAACATATCAGCCATAATTGAATGTGGAGCAGACTCGGTAGCCAAATGGTGTAATCCTGCTCCTCTACCTTATTGTCTAAGGCAGGAGTGTGATAGAATACATCCCACTTGCGTGGATGGATACAGCTCCAACAACACTCGAAAAGCTTGACACCATCTAGGTCAAAGCAGCCAGCTTAATTAACACCGTCTCCACAAACAATCAGCCTCTCCACTACCACCACTCAGTAGCAGCAGTGTGTACTGCACTGCAGAAATTCACCAAAGATCATTAGATAGCACTTTCCAAACCCACAACCACTTCTATCTGGAAGGACCGAGCCGCAGATACGTGGGAACACCACCATGTGCAAGTTCCCATCCAAGCCACTGACTTGGAAATATATCGCTGTTCCTTCACTGTCACTGGGCTGATATGCTGGAGTTTTCTCCTTAATGGCGTTATGGGTCTACCAACAGCACATGGACTGCAGCAATTCAAGAAGGCAGCTTGCCACCGCCTTCTCAAGGGCAACTACAGATAGGCAATAAAATGCTGGCCACATCTCATGAGTAATTTTTCTAGCTCTTTGCTTAGGTCCTGTACATTTAAATACAGTGTCTCTAAACTGTTAGTTTATGTTTTCTTCTACGTATTAAGTTAATTATTGTGTAAGCCATATTTCCTAATTTACATTCAAAGATATTCCTTGTTTGTAGGTATAGTATCAAATATTTATTGCAAAACTTGCATGCCGTTAGATTATCACAGCTAAAACCATTACATTGGTGATACTGAGCTTCATTTCAAGATTGCAATGATATTACATGCGTTCAGATAGTTTGAATTAGTCCTGTTTGTACTTTTACTATCTTCAATACTAAAGAAAAAATTAAAAACTAGAAACTTAGAGACATTTGCAAATCTGTTTACGCTTTAACTTACAAGAGACAATTCACACTCCTTGAGAAAGCACTGTAATTCAAGCAAAAAGAATTTTCACCCACCAGTTCCTTCTACCCTGTATTCAGATTCCATGTAGTTTTCTTATCTCTACATACATTAAGGTCTTGCTTCAGTGCATCTCTTAGATCTGTTTGAATTATTGTGATTTTTTAAAAAGTTTAGTAAACCGCTAAAGCCCATTGTATAGCAGTGCTCATTCTTAGGTTATTATGTCACAAAGGTCTGAGACAAATTAGTGGAAATTTAGAAGTCAAAAGATATCCGGCTTACAGCATTTACAAATTTTTAGATTATAAAAATAAGGGAAATCGATAGTGATGTGCTGACCATCTCATCCTAACTTCAGAATGCATGTGAACAACCTTTTTCAACTGTATTTTGCAAATTCCAGATGCATCACATCCGGTGTGACATCAAAGTTGTGAAGCTGATCTCTTCAATGTCATCTTGTACTATTTCTCTCTCAAATTCAGTGAATGTGTATACATTTTGCACAGATGCAGACACACAAGTACAAACAAGCATCCATGCACACTTCCCTTTACATTCAGTTAATATTGAACAATACTCTGAAAAGCTCATCTGTAATTCAGTTCAGTTCGATTTTGATTAAGAATGTTTCGACAGTATGTTTGATCCAGCTTCCCAATACTCAGAACTAGTGTTAGAATTAGTGATTTAATTGCTTTTGTGGTTCATCTGACCTGTCTCAGGTTTGTCCATGTTCACTTTCTCAGTGCTAACCCCATAACCCCACATCTGTGTTGATTTGGGGATGCTTTTCCACCCTTTTTCACAACCTGTTGTCCTTATGATTTCTCATTACTTTTAATTGTTTTCTCATTCTTACTGTTTGTAGTTGCAGTCTGATTATTTTAAATCCATGAAACATAGTCAACAATTGCCTTTAATTATAAATGACAGCATGAAAGTGTTTGATGTGAAACTGGCACCAAGGTAGTATAGAATTAATCAATGCCATTTTTAATTTTAATGATACTGACGTAAACCTAATTATTGACACAAAAGCATGAAGTAAATGAGTGAAGAAGCACAAGATCAGTCAATAACTCATAAACAAGAGAAGAAACAGAGGAAAATTGAAGAGAGAATGCATTCTGAGAGAGTTTCCAGATACATGCACACAGCAGAACGTTGAGGAACCTGGGAGAAGTTTGTTCTAGTTGAACATTAGTGCCTTCACAAGAATGGTTTCCAAATACACTCAACTGGGTCAGCTTCTTAAAAAAATGACTTCATTGGTCTTTTGATGTTGCATTACCTTTCAACAATGTGATTGATCACACTGCCAGTGGTCTAGGTGGTTTTCGTAAAATGATTTAATATTTTCGAGCATTAGAAGTTTGATTGTGAAACAGTTTGTTGTTCGATTTCTTTGAAGAAAATAAGAATTTATCAGTAGCAGCAGGGTCCAACTGACCTGTTTTAGGTCAGAATTCTGATTAACCAAAGTGGGAAGTCTTGTTATGATTGCAATGTGTAACAGCAGAATGAAAACTTTCAAAGCGTGATCACAATAATCAGGCAACCGTTTCTTTGATATTTGATTTGAACAACTCTGCTCACATTTCTGTCAGTGAACAGTGATTGTTTCTCTCACTTCATCTTTTTTTGTATTGGCTTCTCTTTCAGGGGCTGCATTTGGTCGCCTTGTTGGAGAAAGCATGGCAGCCTGGTTTCCTGATGGTATCCATGCAGATGGTAGTATTTATCGTATTGTGCCAGGTGGATACGCTGTTGTAGGTGAGGCTTTTTCTGTCTGCCATAATTATTTTTGGCTGCCAGAGAAGAATAAATAAAGCACAGTTTATGCCAACATGAGTTGGGACGTTTCTGCCAGCTGCTTAATTCCTTGGTTTTCTCTGCAGGGGCTGCAGCGCTGGCAGGTGCAGTGACTCACACGATTTCCACCTCCGTGATTGTTTTTGAGCTGACAGGCCAGATCTCCCACATCCTTCCAGTGATGATAGCAGTCATTCTAGCCAATGCCGTTTCCCAAAGTCTGCAGCCCTCTGTCTATGACAGCATTATTCGCATCAAGAAACTTCCGTACCTTCCTGAGCTCGGTTGGGGACATCTTGAGTGAGTAATCTTTCCAATTACTTCTGTTTAAAGGGATTGGATACATGCAGACACGTAAAGCTTCAGAATTAATGTTTCACAACAAACAGGCATGGATTAAGTTAACATTTAGCACCCTGGATCTTGATTTTTGTGTTTGGGTATTGACCAAGAATCATCAAGACTGAAATTCTGAGGATGAACTTTGTGGAAGCAATGAATTTTGGTGGTCTTTCAAAAAGATGTCTGCTTTATATTCATGGTGAAACTTGTTGAATGTTAGGCTAGTGTGAAATGTCAATATGGTGTTAATTAATTGTTTTCTCTTGGTCAAAACCTAAACTCGCTCTTGTAATGGAATATTGGAATTGCATTCGGACAGAAGCTGTTGTGAGCCCTGGGGTCAAATGTCCTTGACAGAATACAAACTGAGCATTGTTGAGTTACATTTTGCTGAAGCTTCCTTTTTGACAAAACCATTGAGGACTGCTGGAACGAGGGGGCATATCCTCAAAACAAGGGGGAGCAGATTTGGGACTGAGCTGAGGAGGAAATTCTTCTCCCAAAGGGTTGTGAATCCGTGGAATTCCCTGCCCAGTGAAGCAGTTGAGGCTACCTCGTTGAATGTTTTTAAGGCAAAGATAGATTTTTGAACAGTATAGGAATTAAAAGTTATGGTGAGTGGGCGGGTAAATGGAGCTAAGTCCACGAGAAAGATTAGCCATGATATTATTGAATGGCGGAGCAGGCTTGATGGCCTACTCCTGCTCCTATTTCTTAGGTTCTTATGTTTAATGATATTGAATCACCCTTTACCTCTGGGTTGGACCTTATAGTTTCTGCTGAGGGGAGAGCAAAATGGGAAGTGTATGATTGCTTACTCCTACCTCCACTAGTGTGTGGAGTCTTTGACGATCAATGATGCTGCCTGGAAGCTCTCCATACTCAGTTAGGCACCTAGATCAGGATGCAGGCAGAATAGAACTGGAAGTGAACTGCAAGTCGTTCATTATCACCAGATTGAAAGCCCCTTGCTCCCTCCCTCTTTCCGTAATGATGGAAATGCAAAAATAATGAATAAATAAAGTCTAATTGTGACCAAATGCTGCCACCTTCAGCAGACTTTACTAATACTGTCTGCAGGCTTCATCACCTATCCTTGTGCCTCCTCCTCATTGATTTTTTTCTAATCAACCCGCTCAGAGATGTTAAGACACACGTATGGAGCTGGTGGAACTTGCACCAAGGCCACACAGCTAAAAGGTAGGGATGCTACCACTGGACCACAAAAGCCTACCAACACCTCATATGAAGATTAAACCATGCCCAAGCATTTTTCTACCTGACAACCAAAGAAATTGTAGCCCAATAACCTGTTATTGAGTCATAAAGTCAAACATTGTTTTTTTGTTTCAAAATGTCTGGTGCGCCTCCAGATTTGGCACTCACTAACCTTCTGTAATGTTAGGGGCTGATGTGATGACAATGAATTGCTTACCCAGTGTCATCAGACTGTATTTTACATAAGTGTGGGGAAAGCCCGCCCAATTTTTGACTATAAAGTTCAGTCCTCTCCCTTGTCCACATCATCAACTCCCCCTTCAGCATGTGTTCACACTTCTAACAATTTTACTATTCCATTTTTTCCTTTTTTATCTCTACCAGAAACATATGATCTCCAGTAGGTTTATTTTCCATTTTTATCCAGCATGTAGGAGGTGAGTTTCTGCTAATGCTACTAAGGCTAGATATTCCTGCAAAGTAAGTGTTTTCAGTTTTCCAAAACCTATCCATCAGTTTAAAAATTGCAATGCATCCAACTTAATCATTTATTTTATCCTTTTAAAAAATAATCCTGCTCTTTTTCCATTCCCTTTGTCACCAGTGGGGTCTACCTTACTTTTACCTCAGACTTTAGCCAACATACAACTTGTCTTGACATTGATAATTTATTTATTTCTCTTCAGAACTCATTTTTTTATTCATTCAGGGATGTAAACTTTGTTGGCTGGGCCAGCATTAATTGCCCATCTCTAACTTCCCTTATGGTGGTGGTGGTGGTGAGCTGCCTTCTTGAATCAATGTAATCTGCTTTGTGCAGGTACACCCTTAGAGCTGTTAGGGAGGAAGTTCAAGGATTTTGACCTAGCCTTGTACTTTGAGCAATGCATTCATATTGGCATATCCCTGGCTATGAAGTAAATCCCACAAAATGGCTATGTAACTAACTCATCGTCAAAAACTGTTCTCTTTATTAGCTGCTGCCCTTAAGTTAAAATAAATTCAACGTTTAGGACAAATGCAATATTTATGAAATATTGACGTAGGAATCCTACTTAGGAATGATACTTGCTTGGAAAAAATGCATGGTTTGGTCAGCTTACTTGATAAGGGATTGCAGTCCTACAGGCTAGATAGGCCCAGGTTTGGTCTTTGTTATGAGTGGTGTTGGATCAAATAATGATTGGTTACTGTATGGTCACAGTCCCCTATGTAGGTTAGAGTGTTGAACATTAACCATAGTTCTACTCTTGATGGCTTTCCAGTAACCACTGCTGGAGATCTAATGTATGAATATCAGCCAAATCAACATCAGTTACAATCTGATCACCATCAGCATCAAGTGTAGCTCGGCATTAATGGTACAATTATGAGCTAAACACATTTCTTGAAACTGTAGTCCCAAAAGACTTGACTGCTGCTCAGTTACTATCCCATGTCCCTGGGTGATGAGTTAGCAGGCAGATATAATATAAACTTGAGTTGTGCTGTGCCTGTCACCTACCCATTCCGCTGGGTATGTTCCCCTTGGCAGGGGGAGCAGCAGATGGCCTGCTCACCCATGATCCAATTGAAATCATTGAGTGGCCATCACTGTGATTTTCCCTGGGTCAGAGTAGGCACACATCACATGTGCACCTCACAGCCCTGTTCCTGGTCTGGGGGTTGCTTCCTGTTTGGGCACCTTGGGCCATCAGCGCCCAACCTCCCGAGTTATTTTCATTGTTATGTTCCCAGTTGGTGGTATTGCTGGGCAAGTCAGATCTCGGAATGAAACCTGACCTGATAGCAACAGTAAAGCTTATGTTCTATTTGCTTACTGTGATGGTCAGTCATAGAACATAGACAAGATGCTGCCAATGTACCTACAACTAAAGAACATCAAAGTTTAATACAGACAAATGGAAAACCCAGACTATTTTTTTTACAATATAAGATCTAGTTGAAACAGCCTTGTTACAAATATCAGAAATAAAGGTTCAACCCTTTTGCCCTCAACGACAAGCTTATAGATAGACAAACCTCAGTGAAGGGTCATCCTTTCCCCCCTTTAAAGTTCCTTGTTCAGTTGGCAGAGCTTACATTGTTTCTTTCCAGCAAAAATCAGCATTCATTCAATGTTATTTCTTTAGTTAATATCTCTTCCTGGGACCCCTGTACAAATGGCTAACACAGCTCACTTATTCACTCACTTCCAGACATCCCAGATGTCCTCGTTTTTCAAGGACTGCAACTTCCCCTCCACAGTGGTTGAAAACGCCCTCGACCATGTCCCTCGCATTTCCCGCGACTCATCCCTCACCCCCCCCTCCCTGCAATAATAACCAAAACAGAATCCCCCTCGTCCTCACGTACCACCCCACCAACCTCCGGATCCAACGCATCATCCTCTGATACTTCCGCCATCTGCAATCCGACCCCACTACCAAAGACATTTTTCCCTCCCCACCCTTATCTGCTTTCCGGAGGGACCACTCTCTTCGTGACTCCCTTGTCCGCTCCACACTCCCCATCAGCCCCACCACCTCCGGCACTATTCCCAGCAATCGCAGGAAGTGCTACACCTGCCCCTACACCTCCGGACTCACTTCCATCCCAAGCCCTAAGAAGACCTTCCACATCAAACAGATGTTCACCTGCACAACTGCTAATGTGGTATACTGTATCCGCTGTTCCCGTTGTGGCCGCCTCTACATCGGGGAAACCGCTTTGTGGAAGACCTATGCACGGTTCACACCAAATGACTGCACCTCCCACTCGCGAACCATTTCAACTCCCCCTCCCACTCCTTGAACGACGTGTCCATCCTGGGCCTCCTGCAGTGCCATAACGATGCCACCCGAAGGTTGCAGGAACAGCAACTCATATTCCGCTTGGGAACCCTGCAGCCCAATGGTATCAGTGGACTTCGCAATCTTCAAAATCGCCCCTCCCCCGACCGCATTCCAAAACCAGCCCAGCTCATCCCCGCCTCCCTAACCTGTCCTCCCACCTATCCACTCCTCCCATCTCAAAGCCCCATTCCCATCTCCTACCTACTAGCCTTATCCCGCCCACTTGACCTGCCTGTCCTCCCTGGACTGACCTATCCCCTCCCTAACTCCCCACCTACACTCACCTTTACTGGCTCCAACCCCGCCTCCTTGACCTGTCTGTCTCCTCTCCACCTATCTTCTCCTCTATCCCTCCTCTATCCGCCTCCCCCCCTCTCTCTATTTATTTCAAAATCCCCTTCCCCTCCCCCATTTCTGAAGAAGGGTCTAGGCCCGAAACGTCGGCTTTCCTGCTCCTCTGCTGCTTGGCCTGCTGTGTTCATCCAGCTCTACACCTTGTTGTCTCACTTATTCTTAACATGGATTTCTTAAACTTCTCTTCCACAGCCTTCTGTTTCTGGAGCTTCTTGCTTAAATTTACCATTCGTGACTTTTTTTTTGATTTCCTTTCTCCTGCCCTGACTGTTAGGGAGAATGCCAAATTGCACTGTTGCTTTCATAAGCTTTTTCCTCCCTGAATGACTTGATTCTACCTGAAAGAAAAATGCTCACTCACTGACTTCTGTATGGCTCTCTTTTCTAAAGGAAACTATTTCTATCTGCCTGTATCGCTGAACATCATGCTGCTGGACAACAATCAAGTTTTTTTTCTTTTCCCTGTCTTGACCATTTGTTTTTCCAAACCGCTCCAGGTTCATTTTTTTATTAATAAGAAGGCCTCATTGAAATGCAAGTAAAGGCATTTCCAGACATCCCAACATCACTCTAAGAATGCAAAAGTGAAACTAAAACCATCCCTTCTTAATTCACAAAATATAGAAGTCCAACCAAACTGAAAGCTATCAATGACTCTCTCCAAATTAGAACCCAAATTTCCAAATAGTAATGAAATACAATCAACCTTTATCACATCCCCCAAGTTTTCCATATCTCTGCCTTCCTGAACCCGGTGGTGCCCACCCATTTGCCAGGGCATGCCACAGCTGGTGAAATGCCACCAGGATCTCATGGTCTGTCCATACAGAGCCAGGTTCTGTTTTCAATATAACAGCAGTGTAATCCTTGATCTTAGCATATTTTGACCACAACACTTACAAAAATCAGCAAGGAGAAAGGTATTAATTGTAATAAACCTTTTTAAGAGAGGCTTCAGACAGGGCAGGTTGTTTTTAGTGATTATGTTCCCACTGTTGCCCCATTCCTGCTGAGGGTTTGGGCTAGTGAAAAACCAAAATTGTCTTCTGTAATCTGGCAAATTGCTTTATCAAAATAGTCTCCACAACAAACATTAAAAGTATAAATTCTTTGAGATTTATCAGAACCTACAGTTTCCAGGCAGATTGCACTGGTCTATTCACAACTTATCTTAAATAATAATAGTTGGCAGCCTGTGTTTACCATACTACATCTAATTCTCAACTCTCAATGATCTATCACATATCAAAATTGCTGCCACTTGGAATCTTTGCCTTACTGAGTGATCATCACTGAATGTAAATAGTGGGTAACAGTGACAATGCACAGATCCGTGTGTTACTAAAACACAAATTGATTCACAAGAGTGTCCTCGGGGTCATGTATGCTTTCTGATTAGTATCTTTCTTGGTCATGACATTCCTGTACAACCTGAATTGCATTCTGCTTCCCAGATTGGGGTAGATATAAAACTCCCTAGAGGAAGAGAAGTGAGTACACTGCACATTTTCCAGATGTGAAAAATTGATGAAAATTTATCATGCCAGATGTCCATTTGCCTAGCATCAATTTTCTATGAACTGCTATAATTACACACTTTAACAAGCAGGAATTTAAATTCAGAAATGATTTGAGGCTAGGGTAACCTGCACACAATTTCTGGCATGCAGTAAATTGTTTCTCAACAACAATGTTTTAAAGAGTGCAGGTATGTTTTTTTAAAAAATGTCAAATGAATGGTACATTAAATAGGTATATTTTGAGAATTTCTTAACAGTTTTTCATTATTTTATTTTACCTCTGATGGCAGTTATGTTCCCATGAACCTTTCTGCTATTGTGCCTTTTCTTGTGTCCCTAACAATTTTTTCTTTATTCATGGGTGGTAAATGTCACAGGTTTTGAAGTTGTTGTTGAAGAGCATAGGTAGGTTGCTGCATTGCATCTTGTACATGGTACACGTAGCTGCAACTGTGTGTCAGTGTTGAAGCTTGTGAGCAGGATATCAGTCAAATGGGTTATTTTCACCCAAATGGTCTTAAGCTTCTTGGTTGTTCTTGGAGTTGTACTCATCCAGACAAGTGGGCATATTCTATCACTCTCCTGATTTGTGTCTTATAGTTGGTGGACAGGCTTTGGGGAGTCAGGATGTTAGTTGCTCACTGCAGAATTCCTAGCCCATGACCTGCTGTTGTACCCACAGTAATTGTATGGTGTGTCTAATTGGGTTTATGATCAATGATGACCCTCCAGGATGTTGATTGTTGACTAGTGCCAACAAGGGGTTATCATAAAGTTAGAAGAACAGCATCTCATTTTCCACTTGGGGACCCTGCAGCCTTCAGGACTCAATAACGAGTTCAGTAATTTTAGGGCCTGAGCACGTTCTCTCACGTCCTTACCCCAAAACAGGTCTTGTGATTGCGTGGGCTGCCACCACCACAAACAACCTACTGTCAGCCACTAATGGTCCCCGTTAGCAGCTACTGATTCTCCCAGGCAAACCATCACTGACTCCCTTGCCTGTCCAACTGTTGTTCTCTCTCTCTCTCTCTCTCTCTCTCTCTCTCTCTCTCTCTCTCGGCTCTACTTCTACCTATTGTTTACTCCTCCCTCCCCACCCACCACATCTGCAACGTATATACCAACCTTTCCCTAGCTACAATCAGTTCTGAAGAAAGCACTGGACCTGAAACATTTACTCTGCTTTGTCTCCACAGATGCCAGACCTGCTGAGTTTTCCAACAATTTATGGTTTTGTTTCTGATTTCCAGCATCCGCAGTTCTTTGGGTTTCTTTTTCCCCAACTGAGATGTTTTGTAGAGGAACACCGGGTGATTAAAACAAATTACACTGAATGAGAGGAGCTTTGTATCCGTCAGCTGGGACTAGATCACTTGCATCTAAAAGCAGCTTTGCACGTTCCTTGACTTGCCAGGTCATTAATGCGTGCAGAGGTTCCTATTCTCAAAGGAAGCTGAGAAAGCTTCATTAATTATAATGATAAATGCTTTCCAATCACAAGATGTCATATTTTGAATGGCATTGCAGTAAAACAACATGCGAGCGCAATCAAAAACTTCAAAGAGGCCAGCAATTAAATCTGCAGATATTGGTGTGTCAACCTGACAATATCTGTAGGGAGTGCTTGTCACAAAGCAGTGATATCTTTGCCCAAGTCCTGAAAGTTCAGAGAAATAGACATTAAAAAATTAGCAGATGTTCTTTGACAATTCACAGGAATGCTATGCTAAATTGTTCTTTGTCAATGTTCAAGCTATGCAAAGAATAGCTTCCTGACAGACATTTGCATTCTACTGAGATGCACAAAAGATGAAAGATATGGAGGGCAGAAATGGAAGTTTAAAGCATTCTGTTGCATAAAAGTTAAACGCCTCTTTCAGAAACAAGAGGAATTGTAGTCAAACTTGCCAATAAATTGCCCTTTCTTAGAAAACCTGCAGTGCTGTCAAAATGTTTGCCCTTCAGGACATGTAGGACAATAAACCATTACATCATTGATGAATTTACTATTCTGCCACATGAATTTAATAATCTTTATATTAAATTTTAAAATTCAATCAAAATAAGCAACCCAAGATATATTGAATCACTTAAGGCACTATAGTTTATTCACATTTTGTAAACTCTTTTTACAGGGATGTAGGCAGTGCTGGTTAGGCCAATATTTATTGCCCAACCCAATTGTCCTTGAGCAGGTGATGCTCAGACACTTTCCTAAGCCACTGCAATCCATCTGGTGCAGGTTCACTGACAATGCTGCTGGGAAGGGAGATTCAGGATTTTGATTGCATGACAGTGAAGTAATTAGCAGAGAGATTGTTCCCTGCCAGTAGAGTCAGCTTTGAGGTGAACTTAGAGATATTATGTTTCCATGCATCTGGTGACATTGTCCTTCTAGGTGGTACAGGTTGCAGGTTTGGAAGATACTGTCTAAGCAGCTTTGAATTGTTGCAATGCGTCTTGTAGATGGTACACACTGCTATCACTGGTCTTTTATGTTGGCAGCCTTTCCATGGCAATGAGCTGTGTAAGTGGAGTCCATGCATAGAAGGTTGGCTTCTGTGATGGTCTGGGCTGTGCATAGAACCTTTTGTAATTTCTTACGGTCCTGGGCAAAGCAGTTGCCATACCAGGCCATTATGCACCCAGACATTATGCTTTCAATGGTGCATCTGTAGAAGTTGGTGAGGGACCTTATGGACATGCCAGATTTCCTGAACCACCTGAGGAAGAAGATGCGTTGTTGTGCCTTCTTGAATGTCACATTTATGTGGGTAGTCGGTTATTGTCACTCCAAGCAACTTGGTGCGCTTCACTCTCTACACCTCAGTTCCATTGATGTAGATGGGGATGTGTTCTCCTCCTTTCTTTATGAAGTCAATGATCAGTTCTTTAGTTTTGCCAATGTTGACAGAGAGGTTGTTCTCGCTGCACCATGTCGCCAAGCCCTCTATCTCCTTTCTGTATTCTGACTCGTTAGATATCTGTCCTACCACGGTGGTGTCATCAACAAACTTGTAAATGACGTTTGTTTGGAATTTGTCAACACAGTCACGGGTGTACAGGGAATACAGTAAGGGGCTGAGGGGCGGCAAGGTGGCTCAGTGGTTAGCACTGCTGCCTCACAGCACCAGGGACCCGGGTTCGATTCCACCCTCGGGCAAGTGTTTGTGTGGAGTTTGCACTTTCTCCCCGTGTCTGCATGTGTTTCCTCCGGGTGCACCGCTTTCCTCCCACAGTCCAAAGATGTGCAGGTTAGGTGGATTGGCCATGTTAAATTGCCCGTAGTGTTCAGGGATGTGTAATTTAGGTGGGTTATAAGGGGATGGGTGTGGGTGAGATGCTCCAAGGGCCTGTGTGAACTTGTTGCGGCGAAGGGCCTGTTTCCACACTGGAGGAATTCTATGTGAAAAAATATGTGAATTCTATGCAGAGGATGGGGAAACTAGAGTTGATGTGGGCCATGACCAGCCTCTTGAAGCACTTCATGATTATCGAGATCAGAGCCACTGGGTGGGAGTCATTAAAGTACGTTGCATGTGCTTTCTTAGGTACGTGGATGACGGTGGCCTTCTTGAAGGAGGTGGAGACTTCTGCTTTTAGGAGGGAGAGGTTGAAGATGTTGGTGAATACCTCAGCCAGTTGGTCTGCACAGAACCTAATCGTTCATCCAGGCACTCTGTCTGGGCCTGTCACCTTTCTTGGGTTAAAACCCAGGAAGACCAGTCTGATGTCTGTATCGGTAACTAGTAGGCACAGGTGGATTCAAGTCAGGTGACATCGCGCCACTGGCATTCTGCTCAAACTGAGCATAGAAAACATTGAGCATATCAAGGGTTCACTCTGCATTGGTGGTAGAGAGAATGAATGTTTAAGATGGTGGATGGGATGTTGATTAAGTGAGCTGCTTTGTCTTGGATGGCATTGAACTACTTGAACATTGTTGGAGCTGCACTCTTGTAGGTAAAGGAAAAATACTCCACAACACTCTTGACTAATGGCTTATAGCTAATGGACAGGCTTTGGTAAGTCGGGAGGTGAGTTACTAACCTCAGAAGTCCTAGCCTCTGACCTGCTCTTGTTGCTACAGTATTTGTATAGATGATTCAGCTCAGTTTCTGGTCAATGGTAACCTTAGGATGTTGATCGAGGAAGATTCAGTGATAATAGTGAATGACAAGGGGAGATATGGATACAGTCTCTCATTGGAGGTGGTCATTGCCTGGCACTTGGATTGCACTAACATTGCTTATAATTATTAGCCCAAGTTAAATGTTATCGAGATCTTGTTGCACTTGGGTGTGGACTGCTTCAGTATCTGAGGAGTCCTGAATGGTGCGAATACGATGCAATCATCAGTAAATATCCCCACAACTGACCTTCTGATGGAATAAAGGTCATTGATGAAACAGCTGAAGGGGATTTTGTGTCAGGAATACTACCCTGAGGTACTTTTACAGCAATATCAATAGCCACAACCATCATCTTTTGTGATGGGTTTGGCTGCAATCAGCCAAAGGTTTTCCCCGATTCCTATTTACCTCAATTTCCCCAGGGCTGTTTGATGACCCCATGTCTACATATATTTCACTTATCTTTCCTCCTCCATTGGTGCCTCAACCACCTCAGTGCTGTTCAACAGTTTAGCAGGAATCCAGTCTCATATGCAAGAGTTTCCTTTAACACAGCACCCAGCATTCTGCCATTATCCTGTTTGTTTCCTATCAGGAAGCCTCAGCCCCTGATTTATTTCCTTTCCATTGCTATTTGACTCTGAATGAGCCACATCATACAACCACAAAAATACCTGTTTTAAATAGCCACAATACTTTTAATTTCAATGTGTTCAAGCAATCCACCAGTCGTCTTGCCATATATAAATTGCAGTTCGTCCAAAATTCTGCTCATGTATACCATAGCCTGCACAATCTTGTTTCTCTATTATCTATATCTTTGGAAACTTTTAATGTCTTGTCAATCCTCAATGCATCAATTGTCCTCAATTAAAGTTTGCAGAATATTTCCAACGTTTGTAATGTTCTGTGCCTGTATTCCTACATACATCCTTGGTTCTTTGCTGTTCTCCCCGTGTCTGTGGGTTTCCTCAGGGTGCCCTGATTTCCTCCCACAGTCCAAAGATGTGCAGGTTAGATTGATTGGTCATGCTAAAAAGAAAATTGCCTTATGGTGTCCAGGATGTATATGTTACCTGGGTTAGCCATAGTAAAAGGCCCATGCAAGGCTTGGGGGTGGGATGAGGCCCTCTTTGGAGGGTCAGTGCAGACTCAGTGGGTCAAATGGCCTCTTTTTGCACTTTAGGGATTCTATGATTCTTGTCAAACCTGACTCGGTGGCTACAATTTTCAATAATCCATGGAGATGAGAATAGGATATCATGCACTTTGAAAGTAGCACTCCTTGATGGCGAGTTGCTGCACAACAACCTCCAGGAATTCACTGGTATTTCCAATGTGAGTTTTGTGGGCAAACCAAAACATCTTCATCTCCAATTAGCTGACCATTCAGTTCCTCAAGCAATTTGTCAATAGGTTGGAGAGGGCTAGAAGGCACTTCTCAAATTGTATCAAACCCAAACAATATGAAGATAGATTTGAGTTTCTGAATTTGGAGCAGAGGTAGGTACGTGGCCCATCCAACCTGCACTGCAATTCAATTAGGTCATGGCTGCTCTGATTACTCCATATTCCCACCAGCTCCAATAACTTGTCATGCCCTTGCTTTTCGGGAACCTATTTGTCTTTGTCTTAAAAATACCCAAAGATACTGTTCCAATGCCTCTTGAGGAAGAGAAATTCAAAGACTTGCCATCCCCTGTCCAAGAAAAAATATTCTTCTCATCTCTGTCTTAAACGGGTGACCTTCTTAAATAGTGATCTCTAGTTCTGGATTCCCATAGTGGAAATATCCTTTCCATATCTAATCTGTAAAGACACTTCAGGATCTTGTATGTATAAAGTCACTTCTCTCTCTGTGAGATCCAGCAGACACAAACCTAGCCTTCCCAACTTTCCTGATAAGACAGCCAACTTTGCCAGGTATTAGTCTTGTAAACCTTCACTGAACACCTTCCAATGTCTCACCAACACTCTGTAAAGTTGAAGCATAACCTCACACCTTTTGTATTCAATCCGCCTTGCAGTAAACAATAATATTCTTTTGGCTTTCCTAATTACTTGCTGTAACTGTGTATTAAGCTTTTGCAAATCATGCACAATGACACCCAGAAATTGTTGCACCAAGAGCTCTGCAATCTCTCACCAGATAGGTAATATGCTGCTACCTGTAGAAATGGACAAGTTATGTATATAGCCAGAAATGGAGATAGAGCCTTTGACTCTATGACTGTCTACTCCATTTGCCAGATCCTTGTCAATTCACCGACCTAAACTGTACACCTTTGTAGATTCCTTACTATCCTCTTCACAACTTACTTTTTACTTATTTGTATCAGCAAATTCAGCAAAACCATATCTTTGGTTCCTTCATCCAATTAATTTCCATAAATTGTAAAAGGTTGAGGTCCTTGTAATAATCCCTATGGCACAGCACTTGTTACATCCTGCCAAATGGAAAATGACCCATTTATGACTACCTTCTGTTCCCTATTAGATTGACAATCTTCTGTCCATTCCCGTATGTTAACCCCGAGACTGTGGCTTTTATTTTCTGCAACTACCTTTGATGTGGCACCTTATTGAACATCATCTGGAAGTTCAAGCGCAACGTATCTCTTCTGTATCCAAAACACCTGGTACTTCCTCAAGGAAGTCGACTAAATCGGTTAAACATTATTTTATCTTTTACAAAGCCATGTTGACTTCGCCTAATTACCTCAAATTTTTTTTTAAGTTCCCTGGTATAACCTCTTTAAAAATAACATCTAACATCTTCCCTATGAAAGATATTAAGCTAACTGGCCAGTAGTTTACTGTTTTCTGTTTCCCTTACTTTCTTTAAAAAAGGAGTTAACATTCACTATGTTTCATTCTAATGGAACCTTCCCCCCCAAATCTAGTGAATTTTAAAAGTGAAGGCAAATGTTATCCGTGCTTTGGACACTTTGACCAGTTTATGTTTTAAAGACACTTTAAAAACACATGGTGAGGCAGACAAAGGGATACCATTTGATTTGCAGTTCAATTCGATTTTATTAACAAAATATTCACTATTTAAAAACACTGTCAGCATTTCCCAAAGTTACTCTATCTAGCTCTATCCATCTGAGAAAGGATATTACCCACAACAATTCCATATGTCTGAGCTGGGCTGTTGGAATCTCGTTCCTCTCCAATGTAGGACTGGCTCTCTTCCATGAAGGTGTCCTTGCAGATCGGTGGGGTTGCAGGGGGGGATCTTCTCCTGGGTTGTCTTGGGTTGCCAGATGGCCTTCTACCACAGGTCTTACTGCAAGTCTCCACTGAGGGAATGGCTTCCAGGTGTGTGTTTTTATCCCCCTTGCCCTGAACTTTCCAGAATGTTCTGAGGTCTTTGGCCAATGAGGTCATGAGCAGGGTTCTGGGCATCCAATGTGGTTGTGCCAACACACTTCAGTATTGCCATGCCAGGGCGGTGTAAACTGCACATCCTCAGGCATTGACTGGAAGTCACAAAGCCTGATCAAACCTCATCCAATGCACAACCCTCAGGCTGGTTGTAACTGGTTCCCCCAAACTTTTGTGATCTATTTGACATTGGTTTGCACTGCTGTCTGTAGCCAAAAGATCCAACATGTAATACTATGGCCTCCTCCATGGGCATAGCATTGAGGCAGATCCCGAATGTATCAGGGAATGAAAATCAAACTTCCTGTTGCAACAATCTGTACCATTTGATCCACATCAACAATCCAGCAACCTATGCCAAACATCCCCAAGATGTCTGAGTTACAATGCGTACTTCTATGTGCGTGATATAGTCCTGGAGCTATAGTTAGTAATGGTACAGACTCCAATTTTAGTTCTTTTATGTAGTTGGCCAGGATTCTCTCTTGCTTTTACTACCTGCCATTGGTATATATTGGAAGAATTTAAAGGTGGGTATTCAATCTGATTGATGGTGTTATGAGTGCACCTTTGTTAATCAAGTTCTGGAGTAGGAATGGAACCTAAAGCTTCTGGCTCAGAGGCAGGCACTCTATCCTCTGTGCCTCAAGACTCTAAAAATCATGTCCATTATTACACCTTTTCATCTTATGGAACTTAGTTCCTCCTGGAACAACTCCCTTACAAAAAGACAAATCTTTATTCTGACTATATTCTTGTCACACAGGAGTCACCTTTCTCTCCCACATAGTCTGAATCCTGTGCATATCGCCATCTAGAGAGCCTGTGATTGGCCAAATCTATCTGAGGTCTGGAAAATTTGAACTTCATGCAGCCAAACACAAGCCCCAGCAGTACCGCATGGATGCCTATGTGGCAGAGAGGAAGCTGTCCCTGTTGCTACTGTAAACGCTGTAAAAATATTCACAAATCATACTTTTTCAAAATGCTACACTCTGTAGAGACGCAAAGAGGTAAAATCCCATTCTATGGATTTTTACAAAAATAAGGCGAATAGGGTTCCAAGAAACTCAATGTTTAACAAGTGTAGCAATGACATTTACACTTGAGGTTTC